GCCACACCTACCCGACGCTCCCGCACCCGAAGCAGAGGCATAGGCCACCAGTAGTTTTCTTTTGTTTTTGTTTCTGTATTTCATTCATTTCCCTTTCCGTACCGTTTTTCTATTTGTAATCCTTCCTACCATATATCATGACATTAAGACAATGTCTGATATAGTGTGGGAGAGGCACTATGTTTTTCATTCCGCATTTTCTTCATGTTGCAAATTCTAGTAATTTTATGGTAATTTTATGATTTTTTGAAATTTTTCAAGTTTTCCCCGTATTATAAGCCATACCAAAAAAATTCTTTGTTCGCATAGCTCGACATACCTACCTTAAACGGAAACCTAGTTAGGAAGACGAAAACGAGTAAACAAAATCAATACGATTATGACACCGCAAACATCCTACTTATGCAACCCGTCTAAACAAAACGTTATACGTACACCTCGATTTTTAAGTTCTGAAGTAACCCCTAGTAGTTTATACTAGCAGTCAGCACCGTCTGGACACAAACCACGTGGGGAGCCGATGAATATAAGTGTTTGATGCCTAATCAATGAAACACCCTTCTCATCTCGATTCTAAGCAAAGAAAATCTTGTGCCAAAAGACAAAGATCGCATACGAGACATAAGTATAAGAGAAGAAGTCCATTGTTGGTTGGTTCAGAGATATCTGGTTCTGAACATGGTAGGGCGTGTTACGGCTCGATCCCCCGCAACCTCCGATTTGGAAAAATATAGGGTAACCACATCCGTGTACCAGACCCCGTGACAAAAATAGGATCAAAGTCACTAACCGGCTACTCCACTACGTGCGTGCAAAGACAAAGAGCTTAATGTGATTGCGCCAGAACAAAACCGGGCGAAAAAGCACGAGAGGATCGAGGTTGAAATGTGACGAAACAATTAAGCGGTTTGTTAAAGTGGAAATACGCGACTCAATTGTGTCATTGGCGTATCACTGACGTTTTACTCAAGTACCGGCCGAATGACGATTGGTTTTATGTGTTTTATCTCGAAAATCAAAGGTATGTCGTGCATGTGCGCCTGACGAACACTTGTCCGATTTTTACGACTATTTACTTGAGGACAAGCACATGATACCGACCTTGAGCCACACCTACCCGACGCTCCCGCACCCGAAGCAGAGGCAGAGGCCACCAGTAGTTTTCTTTTGTTTTTGTTTCTGTATTTCATTCATTTCCCTTTCCGTACCGTTTTTCTATTTGTAATCCTTCCTACCATATATCATGACATTGAGACAATGTCTGATATAGTGTGGGAGAGGCACTATGTTTTTCATTCCGCATTTTCTTCATGTTGCAAATTCTAGTAATTTTATGGTAATTTTATGATATTTTCAAGTTTTTCAAGTTTTCCCCGTATTATAAGCCATACCAAAAAAATTCTCTGTTCGCATAGCTCGACATACCTACCTTAAACGGAACCCTAGTTAGGAAGACGAGAACGAGTAAACAAAATCAATACGATTATGACACCGCAAACATCCTGCTTATGCAACCCGTCTAAACAAAACGTTATACGTACACCTCGATTTTTAAGTTCTGAAGTAACCCCTAGTAGTTTATACTAGCAGTCAGCACCGTCTGGATACAAACCACGTGGAGAGCCGATAAATATAAGTGTTTGATGCCTAATCAATGAAACACCCTTCTCATCTCGATGCTAAGCAAAGAAAATCTTGTGCCAAAAGATAAAGATCGCATACGAGACATAAGTATAAGAGAAGAAGTCCATTGTTGGTTGGTTCAGAGGTATCTGGTTCTGAACTTGGTAGGGCGTGCTACGGCTCGATCCCCCGCAACCTCCAATTTGGAAAAATATAGGGTAACCACATCCGTGTACCAGACCCCGTGACAAAAATAGGATCAAAGTCACTAACCGGTTACTCCACTACGTGCGTGCAAAGACAAAGGGCTTAATATGATTGCGCCAGAACGAAACCGGGCGAAAAAGCACGAGAGGATCGAGGTTGAAATGTGACGAAACGATTAAGCGGTTTGTTAAAGTGGAAATACGCGACTCAATTGTGTCATTGGCGTATCACTGACGTTTTACTCAAGTACCGGCCGACTGACTATTGGTTTTATGTGTTTTATCTCGAAATCAAAGGTATGTCGTGCATGTGCGCCTGACGAACACTTGTCCGATTTTTACGACTATTTGCTTGAGGACAAGCAAAGGTTTAAGTATGGGAGGATTTGATAACGAGAAATCGTATCATATATTTACTATGAAATTAAACCGCTTTATATCGTATTGATCCGATTAACTCCTGAATACTTCGAGTTTTGTATGATTTTATGCAGGTACAACATATCTTAGCTCAAACTAGAAGGAAACATGAAATGTACAAGATTGCGGCCAAGACCAGAAGAGAAAAGATAAATCTGTCAAAAATCCAAAATTTGCTGCTATTACGGTCGTCACACCCTTGCCATGACCGTAAGACACTTCAGAAGCGTGTTACGACCGTCATGCATTGGCCACGACCGTAACACGCTATTTCATGGAATCTGCACGTAACACACCAGCCACGACCGTAACAAGCATTTTATTAGTTATTTTGAACGTGCAGTACGTGGTCAAGTAACGAAGCATGCATGTGTGCCTTATTTTTCTCCAACGACCAAGACCACCTTCTCCTTATTTTTCTCAGCAAGCCAAGAATCTAGCAGCGTGAAATATAATCCCAACTGTATTCATTCTCTATAAATAGATTGGACTTCAAAGAAGAAATTACAGAGTTCAGTTCAGAAAATTCTTGCGGAAGCTCTGCCGATTTAAAACCCGATTCTATTTTCCGATTTTATTTTGTTCTTGTTAATCCCTTTCCTTTCAGAACCTTTAATAGCATTTCCAACATCAGGAAATTGCTATTGTAGTTAGGATTTCTTTCAAGCCTCGCCATTTTGTTTATTTAATTTTCATTTCGACGTTCCGATCTTACCGGTTTGTGGAAGAATGATCTAGGATACTATTGCTTTTCAGGTTTTTATCGTATTCAATATAATTGCAATTTATTTATGTTAAATTTATGTTCTTTATTTATAATGCATGTGTTATTGTTTTCTGATTTTATTTCCCGCATTTTAATTCCGAACATTATGAGTAGCTAAATACCCGTAGTCGGGGTGTGATGAAATAATCGAATGAATTAATGTATTTCTAAGCTAAAACCTTAATTAACTTAATTTCTGGCCGTGACTTTTTATAATTAAAAATCAAGCTTTTTGTTACGAGAGTAAGGAAAGTAAAATAGAGAGAAATCAAGACCACGAGAGTGTGAGGTTTTAACCGGATAGTTAAAGTTAGGCATTCGATTTAAATACAGCGAGAGCGCTTTAAAACGAATTAGATTTATTTAGTTTTCAAAAAGGTGCTTTCTAAACACTTATGGGCTAGCGAGAGCAGACATTTGGCTTTAGGAGTATGATCCGAGGTAAGACCACGAGAGTGTGAATCGAGGGTTTTTAAACTGATAAGTACTACAGAACAATTTAAGTTAAATATTTTTATATGCTTAGGTACAATTTAATTCGCATAGGTTCAAAACATTACACTCCGACCACTTTAATATTATAATTCTTTTAATTGAATTTAGTTTCTCCTTTAGTTTTAAACTTCTAAAAACCAAACGTGACAATTTCCGCCTTAGCTAAACTAACCTGTTTCATAACACTAGAGTGATTACGAAGTCCCTGTGGATTCTACATCTTTTTATTACTACCGCGATAGATTGTGCACTTGCAGTTAAGATACCGTTAGACACATTAGATCAATCGCACATCATGAGCCCAAAAAAAACCAGACTTGAACAATATGGTGGATGAGGTAAGGGCAAATGGAAACAAATTACTTGTATAAAACTTACAATGTATATATCAAAAACAGCACACCAAAATAGAACACCAAAAAACAATCGCCAAAAAGCATAGATTTTTTGGAGATAGAAAATAGATAAACATCATCAAACAAAACTGGTAGAAAATAGATGGAAAAATAAACGTATAATAAAAAAAACAAAGCAAATATACAAAATAGTTGGAAGAAATAATGGCCTAAGCAGATTAAAAAAAAAAACAGAACACAAATGGAAACAGATTTAAAACATATAAACAAATACATAAAAGAAAGAAACAAATAAAGAAAAGCAAATAAACAAATAAGAGAATAAGAGAATAAGATAAGAATGGGGAAAAAATAATTCAGAAAATGAAAAGCAAATAAATTAAAAAAGAAACACAAGAAAAGGCCAAGACAAAAGAAATAAATGCAAAAACAGAATAGAAGAAACAGTAGCAGGAGGTATACACAGATGAAGGCTGGTCGCACCAGGCCTTGCGCACGTGGACCAGGTCATGCAGAAGGTGGTCATCGCCCCAAACCCATTTTTTAGGGTTCCAACCCATTTGGTCTATCAATGTTTTCCAATTTTTGGTTGCACACACCGCCATGTTCGCCATCCTAGTGGTGGCTGTCATGGCCCCACCATACAAAGCACCGCCATGATCACCATCCTAGTGGTCGCAGTCATGGCCCCACCATACAAAACCTGCCACGCTACAGCAATGGCATATATCCTACTTCACTGGACTAAACTTAATCCACACAATTCCTAAAAGATATCAAATGTTTTATTTTAATATAATCCCCTATTCAACTCCAAGTCACAATCAGTAATAGTTAATACAAGTATAGAAGATATGAACACAGTCAAATAAGGTGCTCAGAAAAATGATCAACTATTGAAAAACTCCCAATACAAGATTAACAAAAAGTGCTTCAAAATTGAATGACTACAGCAAGCATCACAATCCACAAGGACATCCAAATTTGTAAAGAAAAACAGCTGCCAAAGTCAAAATCACTTAACCAAAATCAGTGAAAATGAACATAAACTACCAACTTAAAAGTAAATTAAAAAGGACATACTATGATAATTCAGTAGTTTTTCTCTAAATCTCGGTCACTGTCTAATAAATTCTACCTCACGGTTACAATATCATCAATCTTCAAAATCATCCGCACACACTCAGTTGCCAAGGTGATAGCACTAGTACTTACAAGCAGGGGCTGCACCACATTCTCCTCAAGGATGTTTGTAATTTGACCTTTCCTAACATTGATTCCAGTATTGATCTCACCTTTGGCATGACGATTCCTCAGCTCGGTAACAATTGCAATTGGGTTCAAACCTGCATTCTCAGCAAGAGTATAAGGAACAACTTCAAGAGCCTCGGCAAATGCACGAATGCAGTAACCTTCCATCCCATGCAACACCTTAGCCCAAGCACCCAATTGCCTCGACAGCTCTATCTCCGGGGCACCACCACCAGCAATCAAAAACCTCTTGGCAACCAAACACCTAACAACACACAAAGCATCATGCAGACTTCGATCAGCTTCATCAAGCACAAGCAAGTTAGAACCCCGAACAAGCACAGTTGTTGTCTTTCCCATATCCTTAATACCAGAAATCTTCACAATCTTCCCATCCCCAAGCGAAACCTCCTCCACAAGATCAGCAAAACCCAACTTCTCAGCACGGAAATGCTCAATATTAGCAATCGGCAAACAATTAAGAGTCTTGGTAATAAACTCAATCTCATCTCTCTCAACATCTTTAACCACCAAAATTTTAGCTTTAGCAAGATAATGCAAAGACAAATCAGTAACAGCATCTCTCAAAATACTCTTCTGAATCAACAACACATTACAACCCGTCGCCTTAATCTTCTTAATCATCCCTAGAATATAACTCCTCTCTTCTTTCAAAATCCTATCCATCTGAGAGTAATCACTCACCACAATACTCTGCTCAATATCCGTCTTAGGAGGCGAAATCTGAAACTGAATCACAGCAATCTTAGCATTCTCCATCCGGGTAGGTCCACCAGCAGCATGACTAACCTTCTTATCGAAAACCAAACCCTTCACAAGCTCAGTATCATCAACTGTCCCACCAAGCTTCTTAACAATCTTAACATCCCGAAGATCAACCATTTCCGGATGGGCAGTATCCACAACAGAGAGAACAGAGTCGACCGCGATCGGAGCAAGGAGAGACGAGTATTGACTAACAACCTTGCTGTTCAACGAAGTGCTAGCGGATTTAATTAAAGAATCACGGTCAGTGAGTTCGACCGGAACGGCCATAGCAGTGAGAACATCAATAGCTTTAACAGAGGCTTTATAAAGCGAATCAGATATGATAGTAGGGTGAATGCCGTGGGAGAGAAGTAGGACACATTTCTCGAGTAAAGCGCCGGCGATGACGACTACAGTAGTGGTTCCGTCACCGGCAGCGGAGTCTTGAGATTTCGAAAGCTCTACGAGCATTTTCGCGGCGGGTTGGAGAACCTGCATCTTGTTAAGGATTGTGGCACCATCGTTGGTGATGATAACTTCATTAGAAGAGGTGGAGATCATCTTGTCCATACCTTTAGGGCCGAGACTGGAGCGAACGGCGTTGGCGACGGAACGTGCGGCGATGATGTTGGCTTGACGGACATCTTCCTTGCGCTTGTTGTCGGTGTAGGATTCGGTTTTGGAAGATCGGGGAGGAGCCACGATTGCCGCCATTGATGGAGTGAGAGGATGAGAAACCCTAAAATGGGAGAAATGTGAGAATTGAGAACCCTAGGTTTTAGAAATGAGTGATGTGAAAGATGAACTGAGAAATGAGAAGGACTTGTTTGTAAATTTTAAATATTGTGTTGAGTTATTTCGTATTCCGTTGTTTATGCGCGAAAGTGTAGGGAAGTATGGGCTTCGTTGCATTTGTTGTGGTACTAATTTTTTTTTTTTATATTTTTGTTTGAAAGCCACAAAATACCCTAACCAAACACCTTTTTTTTTTATCTATAATTTAGATTGAAGATATGTCTATAAATTTTTCTAAATTTAATTTGGAGATACATCTCCAAACATATTTATGAAGTCATTTTTCAACAATTTTATTTAGAAGATTTTTTTAACCACTTAGTGATATTTTTGGAGATATATATTCGAAAATCTCCATCAGAAAAGTGAATATATGACCACTTTCATGATCATCTCTCTCACACTTCAAACTTACTCCATAATCAAAAATCCTTAAATAAAGATTTCATTCTCAACCAATTTTTCAAATTTCAAACAAGCATTCTTTGATTTTATCACATCAAATTGAATAAAAGAAGTTGAAATTTAAGGTAAAATTCTCTCATTTCATTCCTCATTGTTTGCATTAATCTTGTCTTTGAGCTGAAAAAAACAGAAAAGTTTTATGATACATGATAAAGTGTGGTATATTTGTTGTAACTGGTTTTTAAATCAGAGTCGTCGCCCTTAATTTTTATCTTAGAGGAAAAGGAATATAAAGAAATAACCTTAAAGTTCAGAGATTCTAGATTTGGACTCGGTTCTAAACGAAGAGGTGTTAGGCGCCCCTTATCTACCTTGTTCGCAAGGATACTAGGTTTAGAAGCGCGATTTTAAGAAAAAGGTTTTTAATATTTTATTAGAGGAACTCGCCACGATTTTAATTGTATGCATATGTATCCTCTTATGGGGAATTAGAGTCTTAATTCGTAGTTCGTAGTTTGATTGGTGTTTTTTATAAGATTTTGTAGAATTGCTTTCGAATTATCCTTAAACCTTGTCTGGGTTGTAAGTTGAGTGATCTTAGACGCAATTCGCAGTTAATTTGAAAGCAATTCTCCTTAATCCTTTTTAAAAAATATCTTATAATTTTTGTTATGTTAGTGGAAAATGGTTTATTATTGGTTAGATGTATTAAGACGTAGAACGGAGGAGTCTGATATAGTCTCCTCATCACGTGGTCAGATATTGGCCACGTGTCATTCGTGGATGGTGAATTGGATGAGTTGTGTGGATTTTAATTATTTGATCTTTGAATAATAAATCGATAGACAATGTGTCGACCGATTTAATTACTCGAAGGTGGACATCATATTATTTATAGAATGTTTGAATTAATTAATTGATTATAAAAATGTTTGGATTAGTACATGTTTAAAAAAATTATTTACAAGTTGATAATGAGATTAATCGAGAAAATTTAGTATATGTACAAGTCGGGTGGAAATTTATTTACATGTGATATATTTTTTATTTAATCGGGAAATTCTAATAATTTTGCACAAATCAATTATTTGTCCTAATTAAAAATTAATCTAACTAATTTAAATAATTTAATCACACTAATATATACAAATAAAATAACCTAATAAGATAAAATAAAAAGATTTTTATTTTATATTTTTATGATATCCCTAAATCTAATAAATTAATATAAATAATTAGACATTTAGAGCCCATTATAATTAAAACTCATTAACTAAATATATTATAACTTAAAAATAATAAAAAGAAATATTATGCAAATGAAAGATGATAAAAACATAATAAGGAAAAAATGAAAATAAAAAAAGCAACATTACGCAAATGAGGTGAAAACCTATTGTTCCTATTATCCTGTTTTGTCAGCTAAATCCCTTTTCTATTTTGTCTCACATTCTTCTGGATAATTAATGACAAAAAAATTGGCTAATTTAATTATTAGGATATCCAACCACACATGACATGCTAAATTAAAAATAAATAAATAATAAATAATAAAAGGATCCAAAAGAGTAAAACTAATATCAGATATATCTTTTTTCTTTCTCTCCTGTACGTTTTCTTATTTCTTTTAACAAAACTTATGCTCTAACGAACAAACAAAACAATATTAACAAATGAATAGACAGTGAGTTATCGATTGGGGCGACTAGATTTGCAATACGCTGGGGGCTGAGCGAACGACGGAGGGAGTTCTGGCCATGTGATTTAGCGACATCGGTGTGATGGCTTTGTTCACAACATTATGGCACGATCTGATATGATGCTTCTGGCAGAAAAGACATTGACACGGTAAGAAGCAGGTCGGAATTATGGTGGTGCTACTCGTTGGTTTCGACGAAGTGGGAGTAAGTGGGTGGTGTCTCGTAAGTCATGTGTTCGGCAGAAAAAAAAATGATGGCTGCATATGGAGGACGGTGGTGGTCCGAGTTTGATTCTGCAGTCGCAGGAATGGGGTTGCCTTGTTGTTGTCTGTGATACGGTGGGAGAACTGACTTGAGGTTTTGCGTTTTATCACAAATGTTGCGGTTAGCAAGAGTCGCCACTGACTTTTCTTTTATCCAAGAGGAAAGGTGAAAAAGCACAGGAAATACCTTTGAGATGTTTTCTTGAGTTCGGGGGGTAGATTATGAAAAGGTAAGGTGTTAGCACCCTTTTCATCCATGGTTTTCCATGGGCTCTTAGTTACTTGCTAGATCACTTGCTTTTGTTTGAAAATGTGTTTGGTGGTTTTGAAAAGTATTTTGTAAAAGAGGTCATTGTTTAGGCAATCTTTGTAATGATTCTCGTTCGTAAGAATGTATATAAATATGTTTGTCCTTTTGAAAATGTTTTCAATGTTTGTAAGATGTTTTGGAAAGGTGTGTGTTTTTTAAAATAGCAAGGATAGTTGTTTTGAAATGGAGCAAGTAACTAGAAGCAATCTACCTACTCAAATGTCTTTCTTGTTCATTTTCTATTCCTTTGACATTGTTGTCTTACCATTGATTTGGTAAGCAACCCTATCTTTGGATGTTAATGGGACGGGCGCGGGTCATCGTATAACCATGATTAGCAATGTTGCAAAGTATCTTATCATTTTTTGAGGGACCAAGATCATTTTGTAAGGCAGCTTTGAATAGCGTCATCGAGGGACTATGATCTTTTGATTTTGTTTGTTTTACCAAGATACTTCGCATGCGTAACATGGCTACTTTTGTATAAGGCAACCAAGTGGAGAAACCCTAAGGGTGTTTGTGTGCAAGTGTATTTGATTGCATGCTTGATTTTATCTTGAATTATAGTCTTCTATTTCATTGATTTTTTACTAGCATTTGCATTTGAAAGCGATAGATTGCATAAATGTAAAGTCCTACGCTATTACAATATTTAGGGGGTGGGGGTACAAATTTATGAATGGGGAGTGCCAGCGAGAAAAATAAAGAAAATAACAAGGGGAAGAAAGAAAGAAAAAAGAAAAGGATCAGCGTGCTGCTGAAAGGAAGTCAGAGGTTCTGACCCTGGCATGCTGCAGAATAGAAACCTGTTAGTGAAAATGTTTAGGTCAGAGGTTCTGACCCTGACACGCTGCAAAACAGAAACCTGTTAGTGAAAATGTATGAGGTCAGAGGTTCTGAACCTGCTGGGAACACAGTAATTTTCAGAAGTTCTGATATTACTGATAACAAAACAGGCTCCAGAAGCGCTGGCGCCAATATCAGAACTTGGTCTCTCTCTATGCTAGTCAGAACATCTGCAATTTGGTTATTTCTCCACAAAACAGAAGACATGCCTAGGACAGTTTCAGCAGGTGTCATAGCGCTTTAGAAATGAGGAAATCAGAACCAAAAATCAGAGGCAAGTATGCCTTTGCTAATCTTAACTCTGAGTTTTAGTTTCTTCAAGGAAGTTATGAATTGATTCACTCTCTACTTAAGCAGGCAGATGCATTAAATCTCAGAATATGTACAACATCAGAAGCATGGTATCTACATTGTGTTTTTGAGCATGCAAATCTGGTGATGCTTAAGCAATGTGGTGAGAGTCAGCAGATGCTTACCTTGCAGCTGGAAGAAGTTCTGTGAACTGGAGTTAGCCTTAACTCTGATGATGTTCTGAACAACTTCTTTGAATGGATGGATGGAGGGTATATAGTAGTATGAATACATAAGTTATGGCAGTTTCCAACGTGTGGGTCAGAAACTGTATGGGTGTTTTTTAGTCAAGAAATATTTTGAGAACAAATGGAGTTTGAAAGCAGGGGATCCAAAGTTAATGGTTTTTTGTGTGTTGTATTTATAGTTCTTGAAACACTAAGAATTTTGGCAGAGATTCGAGGTGTTTTCTTGCTCAAACTTTCTGTCTCTTTTCAGCAATTTTTCGGGACTTTTTTTTGGACCAGTGGCCAATGGTGTTCTATTTATAGGCAAAGCTTTTATGGGTTTTGAAATGTCAAGTGGCTCCAATATCATGCACTAGATGCTGACTTACTCTTGAAGAAAGTTTAAAAAAGGTTGTGATGATTGACAGCTTTTAGCCTAGGCTGGATTAGTAAGCAAGGATTAAGGAAAAGTGACACCCATAAGTGAAAAGTAGCGCATGAACCCATACCTAAATCTGTACAAAATAGTATGAGTCAGCATATACTGTCTTAGTCGGCGAGCAGCCCATACCAGAGCGCAGCAAGTTTTCTCGAGCAGTGAATATCTGGTTTCACAGTTGGTAAACTTTTTGCTCAGGTAGTAAATAGCGTGCTCTTTTCGGCCAGACTCGTCATGCTGCCCCAACACACACCCCATTGAGTTTTCTAAAACAGTCAGATACATGATCAATGGTCTTCCCTCGACTGGAGGTATCAACACAGGAGGCTCTTGTAAATATTCTTTGATTTTGTCAAAAGCGACTTGGCATTCATCATTCCATCTGACTACTTGATCTTTTTTCAATAGTTTGAAGATTGGCTCACTAGTAGCTGTTAA